TTATTTGGATAATTTCAGGCCTGGAATTGTCAATCTCTACTGAACGAAAAGTTAATTTGAAGACTACCACTACATGACATCACAAGGTGGAACATGGCATTTTGAGCTTTGGAGATGTATAGACTAGTAGGATTACTGAATGAAACAAAACACAACTCCAGTATGTTTTTGAAGAGGTAGCAAAACTCACGGGACCTTTAAAAATTAGCTTCTCTTTCTCAAGTAATTTCTTTGGCAACGTTGTACTTCTACTTAAAAAATATTATCAATTATGTAAACAATTAGGAATTATTGCAAAATTTAGCTGATCTACCCACCTCCTGACCAAAATCTGCCTCAAGATCTGCGGAAGAATTAATTGGACACTGCACTACTCTACTTGCCAGGCTAGCGCCACCAAGTGCCTCCGCTCAACTTCATTTCTCTCCAACGAATAGGTCAGAAATTGGAGACGGCTCACAAAAGCCCCAGAAGTGCGAGTTCAGGCACCAGCCAATCAGCGAAGCGCCATATATTCTGTATTGGCAACAATTCCCAAGATTGAGGATTTAAAGCCGCAATATAGAGAATGTTTGGTGAATTTTATCACGTTATTGCCCTTCTTCCTACGGGATTTGGGAAAAGCTTAATATACCAGTTAGCCCTGTTAGTGGTGCATTACATATGTCACGACCAAACAGCAGCGACTGGTTAAATGAAAAAAAGTACCCGCCTACTGTCAAGCAAACGAATCCTAACACTAATGCTCTACTGCCACTGCTCTTCTTTCCCTGAGGGGACAATAAAGTCAAACTGCCTTAACCTAACCGATCCCACTGTGGCAGGTGTTAGTATCTTTGCTTCTATCTCTCTAATGAGTTTTGAGGTTTTAGCAGATGCGTCCTTTTGAAAATAATACCACAGATGACAACTTGGCTCTTTCAATCTTTTATCTGCTTTTAATCATAATTTAACTATTTCAAGCATTAAGATGTAATCATACTGTATAGCATAGCTTTATGACAGGTTAGATTTGTAGAGTTGAACCATGGGAACAGTGAAGCAGTGGACACACCTGTTGCAGAGAGGAGGGGACCAGAGGGTGGAGAGAGAGAAAAAGATGGTCAGCAGCAGATAACGGACAAGACTCAAACATTAGAGAATCACAAATCAGAAGAATCTTTCATATTAACTTAAAGATACACTACGGGAATTCTGGCAAAAGCGTCCGCCACTTGCTTGTCTCTGTGGAGATGTTATTGCTTTGCCTACATGTTCCACGTTTTTATCTTTAATTTGTGTAATTACAGATATTTTTTATTGATAAAGTCAAATAAAAACATAGATTCTTATTCTGAATGGGGCGCCTTTCCACAGATTTGACCTGTAACTTGACCCTGTGGATTAGGTTTAATGTTCATGGAGAGACAGTGTACCTTTAACTTTCAACATATAAAACTCATAGTGTAGAAAATAAAAAAATGCCAAATTTTACAGAAATATCAATATACAAATTAATTATATTAGGGCTTTAGAAGTCAATTTGCAGACTTCCGACTCTCCAGACACCTCCCATGTCACCTGTAACTTCTAATACACAATTCTTGAAGCATGTTTGAATGACCCCATTGCCCTTTTCAGCACATGCCTTTGGTCTTATGTCACTGCTCTCTAAACTAAAGGTGGGCTACTGTAGGTGTGCAGGTCACAGAGCTAGACCCGTTCACAAAACTCCACTTCTTCTGAACTATTTCATGTGATAATTTGAATACATCGATAGTTAAAGTTTGTTGCAATGCATGAGAGAGCAAATTATGTCTGAAGGCTTGACTCTTCTGCATAGGAAAACTGACTGTCTTTCAGGAAACTGTCATTCTACCATAAGCTCTAAGAATCAGAGCTATTTCAAGTTTACCTCAGTGAAATGGCCCAAATCAAAACAAAAGGGCCAGTATGTTTTATATGGGTGAATCTCAGGTTGTAATTCTCACACACTGAAGCCGCAAAGGTATTTCACTCATGGAAGGAAAGTCTTTAGTCAATGTTACTGGGGGCATCCACTCATTTAATACTTTATAACCCCCAAATATTATGGTAACACTGGAAGAAAGGACAAGACTGTTTTAATGGAAATTTGTCCTTGGACACAAAGGGACCCTTCTTCACAGCTATACAGGTTCATGGTCAGGATGATTAGAACAGACACAGGGAGAACTAGTTCAAACTAGAAACAGTTGTAGATGTTCAATGTCAGGGGTTTCCTGTTCAGGTAATATCAGGTTAAGTGCTTCAGTTGTTTAAAGGTGCACTCTGTAACTTTTCTGGTTGCTGCTTGACCCCATGGAAAAGTTGTTGCTTTGCTTGGAGTGTTCCACATTATAGCATTAACATTTTTTCTGCCATGGATTTATTATACACTAGTATTATTCACATACAGTTTTTTTTTTTTTTTACATTTTTAATAGCTAAAAATACATTAAAATCATTCCTTCTCCACATATATGACCTCCAACTTTGCCTGTGGCGTCACCTCTTGTCTCCATAGAGATAAATATGTTTAATGCCATACAGTGAAGCATTACAGGCAAAGCAATAACATCTCTAGAGACAAGCAGATGACGAAAACCTCTACCAGAAAAGTTACGTATTGCAGCTTTAACTCCACTGTACTGTATTGATAATGCAGTGACCCACGGCCTCTTGTACATTGACAACAGTACAGGCCCTTTGGTGGTGCACTTGTGATTGATTGCATCAGTGCAGTGGAACGAAGGCTGGTGTTAGGCTCTTTTATGGGGGACCGCAGGACTGTGGTGTTACATTTCAATGGATCTGCCCTTGGCCAGATAGATGATAATACTACACAGGCTGTCTCTCTTCACACGCACCGCGACACACAATAGCGGACAATCTGAGCTGATGACTTTACAGGGCTCTGGTTTAAAGGGGAGCGTCCAGATGTGACAGATGTGGCAGCGATCCTTCAGGAACATGACAAGATAAGAGCCCAGATGGCTTTCACTGCTAAGAGCGGCTTTCTCCAGCAGCACCAGTGGTTAAGCACAATGTGGTCACGTGAAATACCACAACCACGATGACAGAAGGATCATGAATTTGTTAAAATGCACTGTGCAACTTTTCTGGTGCGGGGCCTGACACCTTCTTGTCTCCATGGAGATGTTTTTGGTTTGCCTGGAATGTTCTGTGGTATTTAACGTACCTGTGAAGAAGTTATTTAAATACAGGTGTGTTTATTGGCCAGATACAGTGAATCACATGCATTATTACTGTGAGACAGCTTGCTTCTTCACAGATATGGCCTTTAACCTGATCTGGTGATGCAACCTTCTTGTTTCTATATAAATACAGAATATAGTTTCACAATGTGGAACTTGCAGGTAAAGCATGAAGACAAACAGCTAGCAGACCGTCCCCAAGAAAAGTTACAAGGTGCACCTTTAATCATAAACAGAATACAAGTAAACGTTGTATTTGTTTACATCTGGATTTTCTGCATGTGCGCAGTGGCTGGTAGGCAAAAAGTCAGTGGGGCCGCTTGTTTGTGTTGACAGTTGCGTGTCTGTCATGAAATAATTCATGAGAGTTTGAGGTAGGTTTTGCATTTAATTGTTTTGACATGACTTCATCATCCTTACTCTAAGTCACTGAATGTTGAGGATCAAAAACGTTACTTTGAAAAGTTAAAACTCGGCGATAACTGTTGACGATTGTTGATATTGTGCTGTTGTATGGCGATTGTTGATGTTGTACGACAATAACTGTTGACAATATTGATGTTGTACTGCTGTATGACGATTGTTGTTGTTGTACATCGTAAGTGTTGGTGATGTTGATGTTGACTGTTGATGTTGACTTGTTGACGCTTTTTGCCTACCAAAATGGCTGGCTGACTCGTATGTGATTTGTACCCAACCAACATGGCACAACACTAATGCTATTATAGCAGCAAAAAAGTTTGTTAATTTAATTATTGGCCTATGGATTCTTTGGACGCAGTTGTGTTCTGGTTTGCCCTTAGTGAATCCAAAACTCATCCAAAAACTAAAATACTCAGCTTGGTATTCCTCCAGACCATGTACCGATGAAAACCCCAAAGTGGCACAGAAGGAAGAGCCAAGTTGAATAATGTGTTTTATTTATTTATTTAACATTGTTTATTTGATTATTTATTGCTGTTTACTACACCTGCCTCAATTCTCTCCCTATAACTAAACAATCCCATGGCATTGTTAAAGAAGAGTAGGCTACTGTTTTCTCTCTTTGCTTCCAAAATAATTAAACATGGAATTTGTTTTGTCTATGCAGCGCTTTCATTTTCACTTTAATGTGTTACTAGATTCATTTGTTAGTTTACTTCCCTGACTTCATAACCTACCAAAATGTTCTTACGCACAGGTAGGATCTTTTGGCTCGGGTATACTTCTGCTTTGCCATGTGAGTCCTAGACAGACAGTTGGCACGGACATGAGAAGGGCTGCGCACCAACCACACCTGTGATGACTTCATGCTCCTCTTCGGGCTCCACCGTAAACACCGCTTGCCGCTGTCTGCTTTGTTTACCAGTTCACTGCCTGGCTTCCCTAATCGCTCCTTCTTCTTCTCCGCGTCTCTGAATGACAGCGAGGATTTCACTTTGCCTCGAGCGACGTCACACGTTTTTTTCCACCTTCCCCAAAAGAGAAAAATACACACACGGCATGTTTGAGAGAGCAGGGTGCACCTCGAGTCTGCCTTTACCTGTGGAATAGCCTTGCACGCGGTCGTAAAAGTTCTGAGTGGCCTATTATTTCAAGTTATTAGCCGACACTTGATCGGCACAATGAAGAGGTCAACCACCAAACCTGTGACAGCGGACCATTCCTCAACCTCTTGACCGCGGGGAGATGCGAGTCTTCGGGGGAATTACTGGATGATGAGCGCACCGCCGAAACCAAAACTAACCAATTAAGCTTCACGTATGCATTTGAGACGTCGTGCCATTTTCTCGTGTGGGGGATTGAGGACATCTTGGTAAATTTTGTGCCCCGCAGGAGTGGATTTTTGCCGCGGTTCAAACATGACATGCGTGCGTCTGTCGCGGATTCAGCTCGCCCTCTTCTTCATCTTGCTTTGCCCCGTCAATATCATCGGGCTGTGGTGGTAAGTACTGTCATGGAGCCACGTGTTGCTTTCATAGGCATGGCATTGCTTTAAAAGTCGTGGAAATATGGAAAGTGTTTTAGTATTTGTAAAGGTGTGTGTGTAAAACCTGTGCGTAATGTGCAGTTTTGCAAGCAAGTGCTTTTGGTGTTTTCAATTTCAATCATATTATTGTCCCTGTAAAAAGCTACATTAGCCAGTACTTAGATGTAAAGTATAGCTGTGGCAATGATCCAGGCTTTTAGTGGTAATTTCAAACTTTACCAAACTTTATTCATACTTGGATTTAGACAAACTTGACTGAGTTATAAAGGAAATTTATTAATTTAACGCTATTTTACGCATGGAGATTTTTAAATTAACGTTCTGCTTGATCTGACGGGATCACACTAGATTGAGAAGTTGCTCATCTGCATCAAATTGTTTGTAAAATGGGCTTGTGTCCAATATATTGTCTATAAAACAGTAGTTAATCCTTCATAGACTCCACCCTCATATACACGCATTACTGATTTTTACTATTCCATTAAATCTTGTAGATTAGTGCATGCTTTGATTTTCAGAAAGAAGAAAGTGCAGAAGTCATATTATGGTTTAGTGATGTTGTATTAGAAATTTACAAAATATATATTATGTTGCCTACATTTATCTACTGTCTTTGCTCTTGTAGTTGTAGTCATAGTTACCTTTTCAAGTTAATTGTGCAATATCACAGCAACAGCTCATGAGTCTTTATGGAAATTGCTGATTTGCCCCAAATTTAAGCACATACTTTTTAAATGATTTTATCTTTGATACACTGGTAAATTTCCAGTTTATTACAGTAATAGGATATGTAACTTGGAGTGTCTGCTACCAGCTTGTCTCCATGAAGAAATAATGACTGGAATGTTCACGGTATATGACATCAAAAATTTCATGTTGACACCACCGGTAATGTCTGAAAAGTGACATAGTGCACCTAGAAATATTGCATGGATTTCAATCAGTTTCACAGTAGTTTCGGTTTCACTTTATTGTAAGGGACAACGCTACAAATTGCCCTAAAAAGTCCAAAGGCGCAATCTCTGTAGAACTAAGCCCAGACAAAATGCTAATATTGTGTTGCCGAAGCAGAGTGAGGTGTCTGGCGTTCGTTGCCTGGAGTTATTGAGGAAAGAGGAGCTCCTGGTTTGAGTGTGTGCCTCTAGTGTGTGTGAGTGTGTGTGTGTATCTATGTGCGTATATCTATGTGAAGTTGCAGAGGAGGGAGTCAGGAATGTCAGGTGGCCCTCTGGCGCAGTGGATATGTCATCATAAAACAATCCTTATTGGCTCAACTTTGCAAGCTCTGTGACAGTTGGACAGACAGACAGCGAGAGATGTTACTGATAACTAAATACTTTTGGGCCACGCGGGCTCCCGAACGTACCCCATCGTTCTGACTTAAAGATCCTACATTACGCAAAATGTACACCCTGTGAACTTTTAGTCATATTTTAGTGTTGTTAACACCTCAAAAACATATGTGGATTTGTGTTTTGTTTCATTCAAACATGTTTGAGTCTCTCTCATAAATGGACATAGTTAACCCGCCAGTGCTGTGTTTGACATGGAAAGTTTGAAGCTTCCGGCTCCTTCTAACAAGGCTCAGATTGCCTTAGATTGGTGTATTGTCCCCTCCTCTCTGTAACTGCTGCAGTGAGCCTCATCATTGTGGTCTTAAAATGTTTGTATTAACCTGCTCTACATGATCCTGGTGTTTTTTTGTCCTTTAAAAAATTCCTGTTCCTAATATGAAGTCTGGCTCCAAATTCGCTCCTCTAAATACTAGCATCATGGGTTTCGTTTGAGTGATGCTGAACGTTATGGATGTCACACTCGCTTAGTCCACTTCTGGTCTGTCCACATCTCCAAAACTCAAAGTGCTCTGTTCCAAATTGTGATGCAGCCGTAATTTTCAAGTTAACAGCTACCTTTTACTAGCCTGATTCATCAGCCGCTTTCACTTGGTAGAAAGAGCCCGACCCGAGCGTTCACTGGACGATAGATATTTAACCAATCTCTGCTATTTGGTCGTGACGTATGTAAAGGGCAGCCAACGGGGCTAACTGGTATATAAAACTTTTCCTTGATAAATTTCACCAAACAGTTTCTTTGTTCTAGCTTTAAATCCTCGATCTAGAGAATCGTTGCCAACACTGAATATATGGCGGTTTTTGTGAACCGTCTAGTGCAGGGGTGTCAAACTCATTTTGGTCCGGGGGCCGTATCCAACCTACTTTGATCCCAAAGGGGCCGGATCAGAAAACTCATGGCATATAAACCCCAAAAATAACAATAAGTTCAAATATTTGTGCAGAGAAACACAAATCTATTACACAAATCTTTTTTAATTGATGAACTCTTATTAGAATATTATAATATGATGAACAACCTGAAACTTTAAGAAAAATTCTAATTCAACATTTAAAATATTTTAGTAGAAAATCACCCAAGGGCCACATGGGTCTTGAAGGGCCGGATATGGCCCGCCGGCCTTATGTTTGACACCTGTGGTCTAGTGTATTCCAATTCCTGACCTAGTTGCTGGAGAGAAATTAAACTGAGCGGAGGCACTAGGTGACGCCAGCCTGGCTAACCTTTTACTTTTGTTCAGTAGAGATTGGCAATTTCAGATCTGAAATCATCCAAATGATCTGAAGACTGAAGGAGCATTTTCTGTTTGTTTCTTTTTGATGAAGAAAGAACATTATAACATAGATTAGGAAATAATGTAATATAGGCCCTTTAAAGATACACTGTGTAACTTTTCTGGTATAGGATTTGTTCGAAGGATGATATATCGCTACAGAGAAATGTCAGGATAAATGATAATATTGACACTATTTTATGCCACTGAAATAAAAACATTAAAGAAGGAGAATTCCAGTAACCCATTTTTAAATGTACAGTATCATCAAAAGGCATTCTAAGTTTCAAGAAGCAGAATAAACTGAAATTAATTTTAGTTATAGAAGTTCATTTCGCCTGTGGATCAATAAAGTTTGTCTACACCTACAGCTCAAAACTTACTTTATTACATTAAAAATTGCAAAAATGTCACCAGTACTGCAATGAAAATGTACACATGATATACTGTATATTGAGCCCCAAAATATTTAGTTCCAACTATTATTTCTTGAACGATAAGTGGATAAAGTAATTATCGTAAAAGGCCACGTTACAGGTCAGATCAATTTGTCAGTTAGCAAATAAAGGCAATTTATTTTTGTGACTGTATTTTTGACCAGTGAAAAACAATGCAAGATAGATAAGTTTACTCCATGTGGAACAAACAGGGGTCCGAGCAGATGGCAGACCCTCCACCACAAAAGTTACACAGTGCACCTTTACATATCGTGTGGATTAATCTCTTCTCACACGAATGAGGCGGCAGTGGTTTGAATCAGAGCTTTGTGGTATTTTTTTCCTCTTGTTCTCGGGCGAATCCTCCCACTGTCCATTCACAGCACAGTCAAGGTCATTGTGGGCTGCTGGTGTCACTGAGGCGCAGGCTGAAGGCACGAGTTTCACACAAAAATACTCAATATGCACTATAGACTCAGGCTGCGTAAGCACTTAGTCACACTTAACACAGTATCTGTTATAATATTTGGGACTATAAATAAAAAAAATCATAATAATAATCAGAAAAATAATGCACTTAGGCTTAGTCATGATATTTGAAGTGAAGTGAAGATATATTGCTACGATAAACAATATTAGGGATTTAACAATAACCGAAATATCGTGATATCGTAGCGTCAAAGTTCTCAAAATAATATCGAAGACCATCACAATATATCGAATTACAAGTGTCTTTGCTTACATTAAGTTATGGAGTTAAGAGTTATGGTGCAGCAACAGCTAAAAAAGACAAAGGGAACTACATAAACCATGATCCTTTGCTCCATTTCAGTACAGACTACAAGAAGAAATAACAGTTCTAAGCATTTTCAAGTCTTAGTTCTTTGGATTAAGTCTTGTCAGGGCATTTTAAGAGGAAAAAGTGCCACATTAACAGTTTTTTCAGCCTACACATAATATCGCAATAAATATTGTACAGTGAGATTTACATTGTGAAAATATCATACTGAGAGATTTGGATATTGTTACATACCTAATCGTGAGTCTCCACACCATATCGTGAGCTTTCCCACGATATCACAATAAATATCGTACTGTGAGATTCATACAGTGACGATAATGTGTTGTGAGACTTGGATATCGTTACACCCCTAAACGATATTGAAGGTAATTAACGTCACTGAAACAAAAAAACTCTAATGTTGTATTTTCCCAGTAAATCCTTTTCAAAATGTACAATATCCATAAAACTATCTTAAATACATAGCAAAATGAAACAGTTAAAGATCCTATGTTATGCAAATTTGACTTTAGTGAGGTTTAAGTCATGTTATAATGCTGTTACCTCCTTGTTATGTTTTATTTCATTCACACGTTTGAGTTATCCTTTATTATTTATTATAATCCGTTTATGTATCTAATGCTCTGTGACACCTTATGATGTCATGTAGGGCTCCCTTTTACCTTTTGTTCAGTAGAGGTAGGCAATTGCAGAGCTCAAATAATTAAAAATTAAAATACCACTTAAAAATACCACTTCCTGTATGACTCACAAGGTGGAACAGAGTGTTTTCCCTTTGACCTCAGCCTAAATATGCAGTGTTTGTGTATTAAACATGAATTAATGAAACAAAACACAAGTCTGAGTATGTTTTTGATGAGGATACAACATCATAACATAAATCAGAAAATAGCGTAATATGGGCCCTTTAAGGTTTCATATAAGTTAATTCTTTGACCCTCTGTATCTCAACTGTGATGACACAACAAACAGTTCCAACTAAATGGAGTCTACACTCAATAAAAAATAGTGGCCATCAATATTAATTGAACGTGAAGTTGACATAATAATTTATCGTGACAGGCCTAAACAATATTCATTCATGCTTCTT